GGAGTGCGGATTTAGCGATCCGCACTCACGGGGGCAACTTGGCTATTAGTATAAGGATGTGGGAGACCCAGGTTTGAATACTGAGTCAGCTATGGAAGCTGGCTGGGTGACCTTGGCCTGGCCATACACTCTCAGCCTAACCTACTTCACAGGGTTGTTGTGAGGATAAAATGGAGGACACGAGAGTGACGCAAGCCACTCTGGGTCCCTTCTGGGGAGAAAGGCTGGATACAAATAAGTGAACAAATAAATATGCATATTTGTGGCATTTAGCAACTTAAAAGTCTTGTGGCAGCTTCAAGACTAACAACATTTGTTTCAATATGAGCTTTGACGACAAACACCTATAGTGAAATAAATATTGTTAGTCTTTAAGGTGCCACTGGACTCCTATTTTATTTTGCTACAACTAACACAGCTACCACTTTGCTTTCATCAACTTGCCACAATTATTTCCCATTTGCAAGTCTTCAGTATTATGTATGGCATGATTCTCAGGTTACAGAAAGTCACATTTTGGGCACAAGGGTGATATTCCTGCAGCCATCTTTGCGAGGGCAATGAACTGGCTGTTCATGGATCACAGCTACAGCAACTTCCATGATCTTGGGCATGCATGTCTGATTGTGGCATATCATGGAGACCGTTGGATGTCTTGGGTCTGTGAGCTTTGTTACGGCAATATTTGTCTGAAAAGAGACATGTTGCTAATACTCCTCTCTACAATAAGATGTCTGCAAAACGACAACTCCTGCCTACAGTATGAGCCTAACTCCTGCTGGGAAAAGATGACCTGAGACCTGAACAAAGCTTTCTCTCTGCTTTGCAAAGAAAGTCTCAGCAACACAGACTTGCCAACCTCCAGGTGGGGACTGGTGTTCTACAAGAATTTCATTGGTTGTCCAGACATCAGGGATTAGTTCCCCTGGAAGACATGGCAGTTTTGGATCACCTCCCTGCTGAGCTCCCTCCCTGCTCCAAATTCTACCCTTCCCAGCGCTACCCCCAAAGCTCTAAGAATTTTCCAAGCTGAAACTGTCAACCCTAAGTAGGTTGGGTCACAAACACCCCTCCCTGCATTGTTTTATTTCACGGTGAACACACTTATGCCTGAGGGTTGCCAGCCTCCAAGTGGGGCCTGGGGATCTCCCACTTTTACAACTGATCTCCAAATGGCTGCTTTGAAGGGTGGACTCTATGGCATTGTACCATGCTGAGGCCCCTCCCTTCCCCATACCCCGCCCTCTCCTGGATCCAATCCCAAAGTCTCCAGCTCTTTTCCAAGCCAGACCTAGAAACCCTATAGATGCCCAGAAACACGATTAGTGTATCAAGGTCAAAATTAGGGTTGCCAACTTGAAAATTCCTACCGGCGGGGGAGAGTCCTTTGGATCCGGGAGCCGGTCTCCGATGCGCGCGCGCTTCACCCGCGCGGGCCGCCAGAACATCACCAGAAGTGACGTCAGACGCTGGGGCGGGGCCACGCCATTTGAGGGGAAAACAAAGAGTTTTCCCCTCAAATGGCTGCCGTTTGAGGGGACAACTCTTTGTTTTCCCCTCAAATGGCGCGGCTCCGCCCCAGCATCTGACGTCACTTCCTGGTGACGCACTCGCGGGGGTGGGGTTTCCCCCGGGCCCTGATTCCGCGGGAGCGGAAATCGGGGCTCGAAACCGGGGGGAATTCCGCCCCCCGGGGGGGTTGGTAACCCTAGTCAAAATTGTCTCTAATGACAAACATTCTTTGTGACATTCATATCAGTTAAATTTATCTCTGGCTTTCCATGTTATTGTCAGTGGTTAACTGGCTGCCTTGGCCTCCATGGTTGTAGCCTAGTGGCAATCCTGTAGTAGAGTATCCAGTAACTGCATATGGATTGTTGCTATCCAAGTGTTGCTTTTAGGGACCCACAAATGGATACTGGCATCAGGTAATTAAAGTATGATAAAAAGAAAATGTGATTAGGAACACTTTGTTCTTTCGTATCACAGCTTGAAGAATTAAATCCTGCAGGGCCAAAGTTTAGAACGAAACTGATTGTCTTGTTTGCCTGCATCGACCTGTTTTTTCCTCCTGTTCTGCCATCACAGCCCAGCTGTAATATGTTGTCTAACCACAAATCTTTGCTGTTAGATTCAAATGTTATCTTGTAATCCGCTCACTGATTGCCTGGTGTTACCATATTATGTAACCTGTTTACTGATTCAGTGAGAAGTGCTTTTTGTCATACTTATAATCTCCTTTGAGTTCCAGTGAGAAAGGCGGACTATAAATGAAAAATCATAATAATATGCTATGCATATGCAAATGAAGCAAAATATTTTTAAAAAATTTACTTTAATAGGAAAAAAGCATTATTAGGAATTAAAAAATTGGCAAAAAAAAAAGAAGTGCAGAGAGGGACATAGTTCAGTTTGTACAAGAACGTCAGTTTGCAAAAGAAAAGAGGGACATGATTCAGTTTGCACGAGGAGAAGCAAGAATGAAATGGGAACTCAGGCTAAAACAGGGAAGCTGCAGAATAAAGTCACATACCAGGATTGTATATAAAGACAAAATGAGATTTTGTGTGTTGACTGAAAATCACTCCAACAAATGTAGGGTTGCCACCATTTCTTCCGGCCTTGCTCCCATGTTTTGAACTGTAGTGTGAGCAGACGTACAGAAATTATGCAGGTGAAGTTTTCCTCTTCCACCTCTAATTGTTTCTGTCAGCCTTCTTTTAAAGGAATAATATCACAGGTAGAAAAGAAGTCAACACCCTAAGCAAATAGTGAGACCAGTCTTTGCCAAAGGCCTCTCTTCAGTATTTATGTTAGATGGCATGCCTGGCTTGTTTCTCAGCATTCCATGGGCAGAGTGTAAAGGAGTTCCAGGCCAAACCCCATGGGTCCCCGGGACAATTGTACACAAATAACCAGACCATTGTTAATTTTAAAAAAGAATTATAAAGTTTATGTCCGTTTCTATCAATATGAAAATGCATTCTATAACTAAAACATTACTCTAATAATGCAGCAAGAAAATGAAGAAACTGGTTTAACTACCTAACACTTTTAGGGTGCGTTCAGATGTGGTGTTTGCAACGGTATAGGTGCTGGTGCAATCGGTGTACTTACCGGCGTTCACACGTAGAACATCTGCCTTCCGTCCCTAACCGTTGCAAAGCCCTTTAAACTGTTGTACTCTGCCACTAGGTCCCCAAGTGGTGGTATCCTGAGTACAACGGTTGTAATCGCTGTACCCGCCGTCTGATCGCTCTCCACCGTTGAGAAACAACTTCCGTTCGGAAGCCTGTGGCTTCCGATTTTCGCCCACCATTTTTTAAAAAAGGTTGGCGATATGCGCTTGGGCGAAGCTTCGCCCTGGCATTTGTTTTTTAAAAAAAGAAAAGGGCCTTAGTTTAGCATTTCGGAGGCGTTCGGGACCTCAGGGAGGCTAGTTTGCTCTTTAAACTTTAAAGGTAAGTCCTTACCTTTAAAGTTTAAATGTAAGACGGGGGTTTTTGTGCATGCGCAAAGATCGCCATTCTGTGGATGGCTGCCTATGCGCATGCGCAAACTGAGTTTTTTAAAAAAACACAACAAACCGCTGATGCCCGCTGTGTGTGGACGGGCATACAACGATGGGCTCCGCAGACAAGAGGTAAGTGTGATCGCGTTTCAGACGGCATAAACTGCACCGGTTCCGACCGGTACAGTTTATGCAGGTTGAAACGGCGCGTCTGAACGCA